GTTGGATAGCTAGCTTCGGTTGTCCTGCAGTAGTTACAAACGATCGAGGTTCTCACTTCGAGTGTTTTCGCATAACTACTTAAGCACCCAGGTATTCGCCGCCTCCAGATGACCGCTTACCACCCGGCAGCCAACGGGATGGTCGGGCATTTTCATCGACAACTGAAAAGTGCTCTGGCAGCACAGGCTTTGAAAGCTGATCTGCAGTCCACACCGGCAGAGTTGACTTTCGGTCACACATTGTGTCCTCCAGGAGAAATGGTGGCATCGTCCCCATCAACTAACTTCAACTAAGGTCACTATGCAGCTTGTTTAGTACATCGTATGCGCCAATTGCATATTCAACCACCGCCAGCAAGCACCCCTAGCCTACCTCCCCCTCGATTAGCCAAAAGCTCGCGCGTTTTCCTCAGGGCAGAGGTTCGCGCATCACTGAAACTTCAATACAGTGGCCCATATAAGGTACTGTGAGGCTTGGAGAAAGCCTACGTAATAGAGCGCAACGGTAAACGTGGAACCATCAGTATTGATCGGCTCAAACCTGCGCACCTGGAGGAAACCGTCCCTTCCACTAATCGACTCCCATCACTCGTTGCACCACTCGCAACTCCCGTACCAACAAGTCTGGCTTCCTCAACCCCGGTAAACCCCGCGACACCCTTGGAGCAGGCACCTGATCCTGACCCACCCCGTCGGATCACTAGTCGCGGGAGAGTCCTTAAGTTACCTGTACGTTCTGCATTGTAACGTTTTTACTCTTCACAAAGTACAAATGCACTTAGTATGCGATATCGATAATTTTTCTTTCACTTGAGTATTCATATATGCACGCAAAAACCAAAAATCCTTTTGTCATCGTTTTTATTTTTTTCCACTATGGTTAACGTTTTTTCTCTATGTCTATAGACACATTAAAAAACAAAACAAAAAACCAAAAAACCTTGCCCTTTTTGTGTTGTTTGTCTTCGCCTCATCGATCAGCCCTAACAAGGGCTGCTTCGACCTTCTTCCTTCTGTTCTCTACCAGGCTCTGCATTCAAAAACTCGGGTAGAAAACTTCGGCCAAGAGAACATTGCGACCTCAAAACTCGAGAAGAAATCTTCGACCAAAAAAACGCAGAGACCTCAAAACCCGGGAAGAAAACTTCGACCAGGAGAACGCAGTAAGAAAGAAGATTGGCACGTTTCCCATCCTTCTCACCGCTCCAGCACAATATGGTTNNNCGAAGACCTTTTTCTGACAACCCCGCCAGTTTTTTTTACTGCCTCGTGCCCAGCTGCGACGGTCCTCCTACTTTCTCTAAATACAAACAAAAACGGGGCAAGTGGCGAAACGACGACGGACATGCAGACGTTTTCCATGACATTTTCATCTCCCCACATTTCCTTTGTGCGTCCGCAACCACTGCCACATTACCTGGAACTATTTTGACAGCGGATTCCCAATATTTCCGTGGCAACACACCAAGAGACTCTATTTTTTGAACTTGCAAACCACAGCAAATAATGCATGCGCCCTCTCTCTAGCCTCCTAGGGGGGGAGGGTGAGCTCTGTAGTGACCATGCACATCCCATTCTACATGTACCCTTCCTCCTGTGATTAGCATTGTTTTATCACATCAAGGCCACCTCTTTGGTCAGCACGTGTTTGCTTTCAATTTCCACACGCTTCCGTATCTCCCTTACTCTGCAGGTCGTAACAATACAACCCGTCCTCCGTTTCGTGAATCGTCTCGTTCTGTTTTCGCACGAACGTCCGTTTGCGACTTATACGTATTAGCTCGGGGTACCGATAAGCTAGTGCCTACACTATTCCCTGTGATGTAAAATACGGCAAAACGTGCACATTCTTTAAAAGCCAGCTGATCAAGAGCCTGATAAGTGACCGCGAGAAGTGCCGGGTGGCAGAATAGACTGGTGGAGAATGTTGTGGCTATCGGTAACAGTCGCAATCTTATCCGCATAAAAAGGAGGCATAAGAAGATGTGAAATAACGAAGGTGTATGACGGTACATTGATTCATATTCAGCAACGCCGTCTTGGACGATGGACTGAATATTTTGAGGCTCAGTTAACCTGACCGTAAAGCTATACTTAGTCTCGAACAATAATTTTGGAAGAGCACCTAAAAGATAACTTTCAGAAAGCCAGCAAGTTGGCGTTTAGGCCAGAGGTTTCGTACAAACAGGGATGCTGTAGGATACAAAAACCAGCAGAAACCGGGAAAAATCTGCAGACAGATACTAGTATATCGATCGTATCGTTTATGAAAGGCAGGCATTAGGACGAATTGCAACAGTAGCATGGATTTCATAAAATTACCTGAGCAACTGAAAAAGGCCATACGTTTCGAGTATCATTCCAATGATGGGGTAGCCAAAGAATACGATTATTAATCCAGTCAAAAAAAATAGCGCACCCCGATAGCTGCTGCTTTTGAAGAAAAATCCATAAATTCCTTTGACACCAATGATGCAGCCCAATCCTGCCAGT